CAGACACGAAAGATAATACCAGTTGAAATGTATTGGTTTGAAATTCGTGCTGGGGAACAAAAAAAAGTTGGGCAAATCATGTCCCAGGACATGAATCAATAGATGACATTTCGCAACTGTTTCATGAATTGCCATGAGACTGGGTTGACTAAAAGGACATGTGAAAAATATACAGTTTGCCAAATCGTATATGTGTGTATATATAGATATACAATGTCAAAATATACTGTGTACAACATATACAGTGTATAAAAATGTAAAAAAAAAAAAATAAATTAAAGCTGCAAGCAGCGATGGTCCAGGCTGTCATGCACGTCGGGGTCTGGCCGGAACTCGGAGCACATGTGTTAAGTTTTAGGCTGATTGGAGCACGTACAGGCCAGTTATACGGCTCATTTTATGCCGTTTTGGCCAAATTCCAGGGGCCGGCATTTCCACACTGTCAGACTTTTGCAGACCATTTTGCTACCTTTTAATCACCACGTCCTGTAGTTTGCGCTGGTCAAATTTCACGTGTGTACGACATTCTCTCTAGGAGGAGATATTGCGAAAATGCCCGAAAATGGACAGAAATTGCCAAAATTCTCACCGTGTTTTTTCAGAATGGTGGACTTCCTGTTGGGTTTGGGGCTTGGGGCTGGTTGACTTTTTTGTCCATCCCAATCTGCTACACATACCTACCAAATTCCATAGCTCTAGGTGATACGGTCTTCCAACGGGAATCCATTGAATGCGAGAAAATCTGCAAAAATCCGCAAAATGAGTTGCTACTCATGCCTACTGAATTTTGTAGCTCTAGGTCAAACGCCCTTCTGACGGAACTCCATTGAAATGTTCTAGGGGCGCTGTGGAGCCATTTTGCCATTGACACACCCAGTTCCTTCAAAACATAAATTTTTTCGCCAGTACTGATGTGTGTGCCAATTTTGGCAAGTTGTTGTGCATGTTTAGGCCCTCTTATTTTCAATTTGCTGGAGAAAAATAAGAAAAACACAGCGATTACAAAAGGGTCCTTGCACTGTTAGTGCTTGGACCCTAATTAAATGCACTAAATGAAGCCATATAGATGATCTGTAATTATACTGATATTTGCAGTAGAATATTCTTGCAATATAAAAAATTACAGATGTGTTGCATAGAGATTGAATCAAATGAACAGGCACACTCTATTAGAAACATTAAAGTGCTTTTTGTCTACCTGGGAGTAGTGATAGGAGCGATATAAGTAGATGATGTGACTCGGGAGCCAGCACACTGCAAAGAGACCAACGAAGACCAGTACTGTCTTGGCCAAGCGCTTTCTGGATTCCACCTGCTTGTTACAGTTAAAAAAAGAAAGAAAAGAAAAAAAGGAATATTGGTGAATGAAAGATGTTTATCGGCAAATAAAAAAAACTAATTATTCATTAATTTTTTGTGCAGCATTAACCAAAATAATGTAACTAGCAGACTCAGCTGTTGCCTCCTTTGAAGTCAATAAGTCCATGCCATTATTTATGGGAAATTGATCATTTTAGTTAAAGGATATGCAAATTTTTAAAAGACAGCAAACTTTATGGACATTCGATTAGTTAATTCTAGCATTTTACAAATATTAAATTTGACTTTTTTATTTGCAAATGACCGTATTTTATCAGTAGAAATTAACTCCTACTAACATAATAAAGGCTTTAAAGCAGCGAATATTTAAAGTTTAGTGTAAATAAAACTAAATATACTGTAACAGTTTAACAAGCAATCAAAATACAACAACTTTTTTTCAAGGGTAGGATCTTGACATGAACTTAGCATATCACAAATTGTTTTACAACTCTGCTAAACACAGCTTTAACACTCGCCTGTCTTCTTGCGTGCAGGTTTCCTTCCACCGGCAGGTTGGAGGCACTGCTCATCAGGCTCCGAGCAATGAAGGTGTAGTACACAGATATGATCAGCAGGGGGATGACGTAGAAGATGAGGAAGGAGGCCATGGAGTGGATCTGAGGGTGCAGTTCTCCAGCATGGGGGTAAGGAGCGCAGGTGATGAAGCTCTCGTTGGTGGAGGTGATGTTAAAGGTGTGCAGGTCAGAGAACACGGCTTCAGGGATGGCCAGGATGAGGGAGAAGACCCAGATGAGCGCTGCCCGCAGGACAATGCTGGCAGTGGTGGTCGATGTTTGGATGTCCAGGGGTTTTACGATGGCCCTGTACCTAAAAGATACAGGCTCACTGACTTTTAGAGTAAAACCTGACACTAAAAGTAAAACAAGCTGTTGGAAAAAGGCTGTAAAAGTCTGTAGAGTTGAAGTAAATTGTAGAGTTGAGGATTATAGTGCACTATAAAGTAATTCAGGTTACCACCATTTAAATAAATGCTTGGTAAAATTCTCGTATATAGATTTTTTATTATTATTTTTATCATTTATTTACCTTTATTTAATCAGGAAGTCCCATTGAGATTAGAAATCTCTTTTACAAGGGACACCTGGCCAAGGTAGCAGCCATACAAAGTCAAAAACTAATATAAACAGACCAACAGCTATTCAAGGACAGTGGCATTTCAAGAAAAATAGTTACATTCCTCTTTTACTCTATTCTTTATGACGCTCTTACACTCATTATTGGATGTGAATGTTTCTAGTTAAAGAGTTTTTTTGAAGGTTATTCCATGACCATGATGCATGGTAGGAGACATTTAAAAGCAACCACTCTGAGGCACGCAGATGGTAACTACTAGAGCTGATAGTGAGAAGGGTGGTGAGGTATTCTGGGAGTTTGCCCAGCAGAGCGTTATAGATGAACATATACCAGTGTTTAAAAAAAAAAAAAAAAAAAAGTTAAGATGCAAACATTGTTTCTGATGAGTTGCGTTGACAAAGTAAAACAAAATAAGAGTTTGAAAAAATAACTTGATTTATCCCAAAGGAAGTTCTCGTGGCAGCTATCGCTCAGGAAAAACAAAATGACATAAGAAATGCAGTTCCTAACTGTAGAAAAACAACAAGATATAAGTAAAATACTGAATTATGATGAGCTCAAATAAGGCTAGAATAGAACAGTAAAAAGTAATGCTTGCAATCATGCTGAGGTAATAAGTAATATCACAAATGATAATTGAATATTGCACCTAACAGTCATGGGTTAATTGATTTAAAACACATTTTAAATTGTAGTAAATTCATGAATGAACTTGATTAATGTTTCTCCACCTTAGGTTCAGTCTGCTGCCAATCACGAGGTAAACTGCAATTAAAACTACTCAGTGTAGTTTGTTGGTCGAACATAATTTCATTAGAAGTTGTCATGACTCAAAAAATTGGATTTTATTAATGCCTCAGCATTTATTGGCATGCATTATCTATACACCGCTTAATCCTCACTAGGGNATTAACTGAAAACTGTAAATGTTTTTTTGTACATTTTATTCATCTAAACTTTACATATACAGTGCTGCTAGTTTATTTTCATGCCCTCGGTCCAGGATGGAATTATGACTATATTATGACTGTATCTTTCCTCTAATGAACGAAATCGCACCTGTGGGTCTTTCATGGCATATTTGGCCTCTGTCAGTACCATCAATAAAAGTTATTTCCTTTACTCAGAGGGTATATAGAGGATTAATCTATCATGACTAACTAGCTGAGCAGTTTAGTTATGAGTGATGATGTGCTCTGCAACACTGTGATTCTCTTTAATGTGCCCTAATTAATGTCAGACAGTGTTTGAATAACTCAGTGAAGCACATCTCAGGTGAGCAGGTAATTGACCAACAAACAAACACATTGCCTTCCGTGGCTGACCGGGGTGTGATAATCTGCCACGCATGACTGATGCTCGGCCTGTGATGGTGATCGGCTGACCGTGACTTTAAACAGGCAAAAGTTATTCCTGGAATCAATTTCAAGGAATTTTGTTAGAATAGAATAGAATAGACTTTATTTATCCCAGGCCTGGGGAATTTACACGCCACAATAGCATCCAAATATATAAAGTACAAGAAACTAACAATTAAGTAATATGCATCCTGGTGTCTGCACACAGCTGTTAGCTCTTCCGGCCCATTAGGGAGAGACCTCATGTTTCTATGATGACAGACGGACGGCTTGTAGCGTCTCCTCTTCTCCCGATGTTTCACTCCTGCCCTGCATCCCCTCTTCCTGGACAGGTCCTCGCCGCATGATTGTCGGGCGGAACTCTGATTCAGCATGTTGAGTTTTGGGCAAATCCGTGTGGCCTACTTACAGTCCATTTCCTGTTTGATGGTGAGCCGTGGCGGCGTGCGTGTCGGGACGTGATGTCAACATGCTCTGGCTAAGTCTTGGAGCACATGTGTAAAGTTTCAGGCAGATGGGAGCACGTACAGGCCAGTTACAAAGCACGTCCCTTTTTATGGCGACGGCCTTTTTAAAAATGGTGGACTTCCTGTTGGATTTCGGGCTTGGCGCTGATTGACTTTTTTGTGCATCCCGACCTGCTACACATGCCCACCAGATTTTGTAGGTCTAGGTCAGGCATGGGCAAACTACGGCCCGCAGGCCATATACAGCCTGTTGGGCTTTTTAATCCGGCCCGCCGAACTTGTCTAAATTATATTATTAAATTGTTTCCATTTTCCCTGCAATGCCTGCGTTTCCCTAATAGATGGCACACTCCATGTACATTGGCCTTTGTTGAGTGTATTTACTCTCTTGGTCACATGCTTTCCCGTTGAACCCTTCCATAAAAATGACTCTTATGAAAATGATCTTAAATGAAAATGTGCAATTGTCAAATTAAGTCAGCAGCGGCAACCAAAGGTTCAAGAGTGTGGAGGTGCTTCTGCTGGCTAGGGAGATGGAATTGGAGGCAATCAAATGGAGACAAAGTACATGGACTCCCAGGAGCAGATCACTGAAATGGAGGCAAAGAACAGAGACCTCCAAGAGCAAGTCACTGAAATGGAGATAAAGAACAAAGACCTCCAGGAGCAGATCAGTGAAAAGGAGGCAAAGAACAAAGACCTCAAGGAACAGAATGACAAACTGGAGGCCACCAATCAAGACCAACAGGAGCAAAATAAGGAATTGGAGACCAGCATGATGGTGTTGCAAGAGGATGCACCAATCTGCTGGAGGAGAACAAGAAAACGGAGGAAGGTAAGAAAAT